GGTCTCTTGGTTAAAGGAGTCTTGATCCCCAAATCTAGAGTGCGCAAACTCCTCCTCCTCATCCTCCATAGACATTTTCAGATAACTCTGAAAGGAGGAAACCTTTTCCCTTCTAGTTAGCCATGCTATCATCTGAGGCTTCTCATTTCTGCCATTTGACGCATACCAAGCTTCCTTGCAGAAGTCTATATGAAACCTCTCAAACATCTCCGTATTATAGTTGTCGGTGGTGCCAAAGTTTTTGATGTTCTCCAAATAATGTTGCAGAGAGTGGAATTTTGGGATGTCTAGGTCGTCTCTGACTCCAAGATTGATAATAACCTCCTTGTGTTGGTGGAAGTCCTCTAGAGCCTTTTGCATATATTGGAGAGTGGTGTCGTCATGAGTTGGATATTGAGCCAGATATATGAAATCCAGGAGGGAACGATATGCCTGGATAACTCCTCTTGGAACCTTGCCAATAAGACAACCTAATAGCACTCTAGCCATATGTTTTCTCTCCTTGCCTCCTATTTGACCCATACCAGACCAACCATTATGAAAGTGTCGTACACCATAACAGGGGGGGAGTGCTTTTATACGTCGGTCCAATTCTTCTTCATCCATAAGTTCTTGACACCACTCCACAATATGTTTGAATACTCCTTGATATAATTGATGGAGAACGTCTGATGTTATTGCCAGGTGGATATCACAAAGAGGAAAATCAAGCCAGAATGGCTCAAAGACACCTCCTGCAACATCTTGTGACATGCAGTGCTGACGAAAAGCTGCATTGGAATTTGTGTTGGTATTGGCTTCATTGATGACAGAGGTTGTCCATGACTGCGTGCGTCTAGCAAATTGTTGAACTTCTGCTAACTGGTCCGCTCTAGCTTTGCACTTAGGACAAGTCCCGTACTTGGAACATGTAGCCAAGCATTGCTCTGGATAGTCGGCCACATAGCAAGCTATAATGGGAAAAACTAGACGGACTAGGCCATCCCCTCCTGTAATCTCTACTCCAGTCCTTCCTGCCTGCTTCAATGGCTCCAAAATGATGCGTAGGGATTCATGGAAAAGTCTTTGAGTTCTAGAAGACGCTTCTTTGACAGACAGCTCCTCCTTCAACACTTTATCCACTGATAAGTAGCCTATCAGTATACAGGCATGTTGTCCAGGTTTACGTCGCATGGCTCTGGGTATATTTCCCAAAGTTAAGTACACGGGATATGCAGATTTTGATGCTGAGAATCGTGTGAGCTGAGTTTTGTCTGAGGCAATGATAACAGGTGCTACAGATGCTCCGTCAGGTAGTCTATCCTGCAATGTCATTAATTGAAATGTTACGTTCTCCAAGATAATCTTACACCCACCTGAACAGCATGCCACCATCTTCCACTCCACATTTCATTATAGATCCTGGTTGAATGTGTAGAGTCGGTGAATATAGTTGATGGTTTGTAGACTATATCCCTAGCGTGCGCAGGATTACCCAATAATGCCTGGATAGCATCTAAAGGGTTTCTATAGTGCAGCTCATGCTTATGTTGAGGCTTATCATGGAAGGCAAGATGGGTTGACTGCCATTTAGCACGAGCTGGGATACTGTCTACAGTTTGATGGAGTGATCTAGTATTGTGATACTGAAGCCCTAGACGTTCTCTAACCTAAATGCACATTAGTTGATATGAAAACTTCATAAATGCTCAATACACTTACCCCTGGAATAGCCAATAATCTGTCAAAAGCCTTGTGTCCTATACCCTCTTGCACTGCCCAACAAGCCACCTCCCAGTCCAAACGCGAAGCAAATGGATAGAATAAACGATCTTCTTCCTCCATCTCTATTCCGTTCATCTCCACATCATCTTCATCTTCTGTTAAACCAAACTTCTGACGCCATTTGGCATGTAAGTTTTGGTCAATGCGTATCACTTTGCCAGCATGAGGATGCCACTCTGTCACCCTATCATCTTCCTCATCTGGCAGGGAGCGTGCATGCCTGGATGGCCCAGGGACTCCTGGCTGTTCCAGTGGATCATCTATGTCCATAAAGCCCTGGTCAGCATCCATCCATTGGCCTGATATTTACAGTAAGCCCTCCCTCTTCCAATATAAAAATAATGGAGGCGCTACTCACCCTGAGCATTTAGTGGTATTAGTTGAAAAAGCTCATCATCTACTTCATCCACCATTGTGTTTGATAGATCCTCCATTGAATCTTGGTTGGTACTCCCATCTTCTGTATCCAACTCACGACATTTTCCTGCCTTGTACCACTTGCAGCTGGTGGCATTTCGAAGGTGAGCATTAAGGCCTTTAGGAGTACTAAAAGATCGTGTACAACCAGATGCTGGACATCTATAAGGCATTGAGGCCTCAGCCAACATACGCATGTGGGATACCATGTATTTTTGAAATAGAACAGGGGGATTGACGTTGGTGGGACTTCTTCAGTTTTGATAACCTTTAAGCTGTTGTCCAATACAAATGAGTTATATTTAGGTCGTACTTATTTCTGGCCCAAAGCTACGCCAAAGCATCATTGGAAATACAAATGTTCTAAACAAACTGCGTGATGCTTACAGACAACAAGGAAAACGTGATGCAAACAGACAACAGGCAATCAGGTAAAAAAGAGCAGGAAACAATGGGATAAGGCATATATGAATCAAATAAAGATAAAAGAAAGCGTCCAATACTCTCTACACAGTAGCCCCAATGACAATCACTAAGCGCAAAAGGAAGTCAACATGCAAAATCAGCCCGCCACTCGCTGCCACTGACACGGGCGGGTGCAACAAGCCTAACTCGATCGCGAGTCCGCATTCCTGAGCCCTTCAAAACTTTTGATGAGCTTGCTGGACCAAGCGCTCGCTCTTCATCAGGGGGGCAGGGCATGCGCGCAAATAAATTGGATGCAATGTTGGCATTTGCGCGCCCGATCTGGTGATGCATAATATTCATACGCATTGCAGGTAAGCGACATGAACTGGTGGCAACTCCTGGGGCGCCTGTCGCATTACGCCACTCTTCCGTCATGGGCACAGGCTTGCAGAGATCAGGATGATCTGTAGATAGAGAGTCGAGTGCACGCTGGATGATACGGATCATGCCTGCATGTGTGACTGCCTTCTCATAAAAGAGAAGATCCCGCATCTCTCTCAACATCGTTTTGATAGCCTCACAGGACCACTCTCTACCCAGCCGCCCTTCCAGAAGTCGGAAACCATCATGATTGCAGAAGAAGCGCTCCTTCCTTGCCGCCTCACGCCAGATTGCAACTTCCTCTGTCGCATTTTCTAGCCAGATCCCAAGGTAATGATCGGATTCTTCTGGGGCGTCTCTGCCTGGAAGTGGCTTCAAGACGTATGGTTCGTTGAACATGAAGGCAAGGCTGAGAATGACGTAGTAGTAACCTTCCAGGTCGTGTGCCACAACGCGTGGAACAGGCGCTGCACCTGGTTTGTGAGCAAACATGGAATCCACAGCCATCCATGCTCGTGTACCCTGTCAATAATGTACCATTAGGAAGAGATAATGATAGTGGTTGATGCACTAACCGTCAGCTCATAAAGACCCCCACCGTTCTCATCACCATTAGCGAAATTCTGCAGGTCCTCTTCCACATTGGAAGCACCCCATGCCGACACCTTGATTTGAACGAACCCTTTGTCCTCTACCTGTACCTTCGCCACTTCAGGAAGTGCGCGTTTCTTTGAAGTGCTGGGTTCTGGATTTGCGATGCTACTGATCCCCCGCTTTCGCTGAACTTGAGCGACAGCCCCTGCGGGAAGCACACTGGAACCAGCATCAACTTGCTGACCTGCAGAACGAGTTTTAGCAGCTTTGCGTTTGCGAGGCTTGCGAGTTGTGGGCAAAGGGTGTGCAGGGGCGACTGGAATGGCCGGAGTGCTCTGTGTAAGCAGAGGTAGGGGAGACGGGATGGGAGAAGTGGGTGAGGTGTGAAGGACAGCAGCGTCTTGAGGAGGTACGGATGACGGGGTGAGAGAACTGGGTGTGGTGTGAGGGAGAGCAGCGTCTTGAGAAATCGGAGGCAAGGAAGGGCGTGTGTTGTCTTCAAAGATCTTGGGTGGGAGCGGTCCTCGTGAGGAAATGTCTTGAGGGGCCCAGGAAGCAAATGCGTGGTCGAATAGCAAGCCACGTCTGATATTGCTATTGTTTATGTGACCCCAGTCAGACTTGTCGGGATGGACAAGTCCCAAGTTCCACAGCGAGGTATCTGCTTGCATGAACGATAGAGGGAATAGCTCATCACTCTCAGAGCCATTGTCTGAGATGCGGTATGGTGATAGGCTTGACCATGTGCTGTGCGATACATTCAGTAGCAGCTGAGACCAGTTATTGTTGATACTCACCCCGGATACAGTCCATGACACCCGTCAAAGCTTCATAGACGCATGAAAATTCATAGATTGGCGCACATAGAGGGTATAAGAAGTGTCGAGTAAGAATACGCTCCTGGTAAACTTCCCGATCCATGCGTTCAAGTCCCTGATCATGCTCGGCATCATGAGCTTTAAGACTGGATGTCAGGCTGTGACGAGCCAATGCGAGTGTTGGAACATTCCAGGAAAGCCGATTGTGCACGGTGCTCTGCCACGGTAGAGCCTGGGCTTCCTTGTATTTCAAGGCAAGTGCCGGCGGGACAAATGCAGGGGGGACAAGCACAAGTCCCTCAAAGAGAGATCGAGTTACGCCCTGAACACCTTTCAATCGTAGATAGTTCAGGACCATGCCTTCTGTATGAGGCGTTGCGAGATCCAACCAAGTATCTTTGACAACAATCGACTCCATGTCAGCCATGCCCTTCAACCATTTCTGCAAGGCCTCGCCGTTCGGCCCGTTTCTCAATGCTTGATTGATCCGATCTTTGGGTAATGTGACCCGACGGACAACAGTGCCACGGCCATTGAGGTTGTTGCTGATGAATAATACCATATCGATCGGTACCTTCCCAAAGTGTTTGGTTTGGATGAAACGAATGTCGCTGTTAGGGTCGTGGACGATTGTGGGGTCGAATCCCAGTAGACCTGTACCAACAGTTGTCATGTTTGGAAAACACATAGATTTATGATTGTACACACCGCGATGGGCCAAAGATAAGTACAATACCAGCCTGAAGTATTCCTCACTATCTTCATGTATCCCTAATACGTCAAGACAAACAGATCCACCACGATCAAAAAATACGAAGGTAAACTGGGCACCAAGGAATTGCAAGACCGGGGCAAAAGTACGGGAATCCTGACTGGCGTACATTGTATTTGCCCGTTTCGCCACCTCATCATACCATAGCGGATTTTTGATGTCAACGCCACTCTTCTTCATCTCGCCAACGGTAGTGAGGTTACGCCAATCTTCAGGTAAGTCCGAATCAACGAGGATGATGTCGGGTTTGCGATCTTCAGCCGAGCCTGGAAGGACCTTCTGACAATACTCGGCGGACCACTTTCGATGGATATGAGACGGTCCGAGTAAGGTTAGCACCTCTTCTACCAATCGATTCAAAAAAATGGCCATAAGATCTTCGGTACTTGGCCCGTTACTGCGTGTGGCGTGGTGGGGTTGTGTAAGATCTGGACAGGCTATCGCTGGCGTCCAATGATCTATGTATCCGCGTAAGCTGACATGATGTATAATGGAATAGGGAACTCACTGTTCTGGTCGAGGAACCCTTTCACACGAAATATCTTCAGAATCTCCTTCACACAGCGGGGTCGGGTAGGGTCCTCCGGCCAAACAAGATTCTGAAAGAGTACTTCGTCGCGTCCCAGCTCCTGGATAATCCTGCGAGTGACGTCCTTCGCATCGCTTGCGGGCATCTCAAAGTAGCCCTTGTAAGCTTCCTCACTGTCCTTAATCTGACCCTTTGGCTGAAGGTCGGCCTTGAGTTTGCGGGCCTGCGCTACCACTTGGTTTTGGTACTCGTCGTTGTCGGTCTTGGCTATGATGCCTCGCGATTGGACCTTATCCATCAAAAATTAGCCACAATCAATGGTATGACTCTCCTTGCTCACCGATTTATATGACCTTTGTTTCAGGTGGAAAAAGGGCACAAATGAAGACATTGTATGTCGCAGAAAGTGTTTGAATGGCAGGATGAGGACACAAGCAGAGTTGGTTGTCAAGATGTAGAATGCACAGTGGCGGGGCGCAGGGACAGGATTTACCGAAAGGTTTATCGATGGGATGACAAACAAACATGAGTACTATTGCAAGGGGATACCGCGATAGAAGCAGATACTTACGATTATTATTTTTTCAGAACTTGAATTCAAACACCAGTGGCATTGGTGAGTAAGGAGCATTGCGACCGTCGCTCGATATCGAAGTCTTGTCATGACGCGACACATGGGTGAAGCCCATAAGGCGGAAGAACATGATTGGTGGAAAGCGCATGCCGGGCCCCTCCAATCACGGTCCGAACCCTAAATTATGGTCATTCTTTTCGACAGTTGTTCACATGCACGCACTTCATATGATGTGTTATCAAAAGGTGGAAAAACATGCAATGAATTTTGATTTAAATGACAATGCATTATCTTAGTTTTTTTCAATAATGAAGTATAAAGTCACCTTGAGTCATTTGTAAACCGCCAGACAGGATAGGACAACTTGTGAAGTGATGGGAATGCGATGAACAACGGAGGTGATGGCATAAGCTTGATGATTTGTAATATCTGTGCAAAGTAAAGTTTTGGCGCTTAGCGCTTACGCACAATTCAATTCAATGGAATTGTCTGGATCCAGCACAGGGCCCGTGCCCGTTCGCACCCTTACTTATTCTGCTAACAACCTCTTATGTTTATTGGAAGACAGCGCCGATGATCTTATGCATATGTTGGAAAACAACATGCCTCTGACCCCCGCATTGCATGCCCTCCATGAATACATGTTTCTCCTGGGTTATGGTCAAGGGGCCTTAGCAGATAACGGTGCGTATATCAGATCAATTTGACACCCTTTAATTTGACACCCGCGTCACATTTAGCGATAACGCAAGATTATCCTTTGAATCCTTCCCTTCCAACACCCAGCCCTACTGCAATGCTCACCCCGATGCATCCATCCCTTTCAACACCCAGCCCTACTGCAACGCTCACCCCGATGCATCCACCCTTCTCCCAGGGAATTGATCCGCGCTGCTTCCTTCCCACTCCAGCGTCCACCCCCACTTCTCTGCACTCTCATTCTGTCGCATCTGAAACGTCAGTTGCAGCAGACAGCGGAATGACCCGAGAGAAACTCCCTGTAACATCTACAGCTCGTCGGAGGCCACGCTGTAACGCTGAGGTCGATAATGATTCATACTATCCCCCCAAAAAACTTCGTCTCACCACCGACATCCATCAAAGTACTCTTGCTGCAGGAGGGGAGCCCCCTGGGCCTGGGTTTGACCCCAATCTACCACGTGTTGCTAATGCTAATCCCGACGATTGTAACCGCGGTGCACGTCGGTTACGAATACGTAGAGCTCGAGCTCTAGCTATGAAGGATGTTTTGCGCCCCGGAGAGGAAGAAGAGGAATGGGAGGCAGATGGAGAGGAAGTGGGGGCGGATCAGATGGGGGCGGAGGAAGTGGGGGAAGTGCATGAGCATGATGCTGGTGACTCAGAGCAAGCCGTCAGTGGTCCTCAAACTCAACGACGAGGTGCATGGCGTCGACGTCCCTTAGACGATCCTAGGATTTCTTGCAGCGATCAGGCTACCGCAATCATTGCTGAGCTCGCAGCCGCACATTGTCTCTCTTCTATTCACGATCCACTTCGATGGCTGCAAGATATTGGGAATTTTGTGCAAGTCCCATCTGTGGACGATGAATCTTTGTTATCACTGGTGGTGAGGTGTAGAGGAATGATGGGCAAGGACATTCGTATCAATTTCATGATCATGATTAATTTCATGACGCTTGTTTGTAAGTGTCAGAGGTGCGCCATCTAGAATCTTCACTTAGCTCGATTAAATGACACATTTTGAAAGCATCCGCCTCAAGACAGGCTTACACCTGAAAGGGATTTATGAGAATGAAGTCAAAGACCGCCCTTCAGAGACGAAGGTCACTTATCGCACTTTTTTGGAGTGGCATGCTACTGGTAGCAAGTTCATTGCCATCGCATGTGGTGGCTCCATATATGCTTTAGTACTCATCGCAGGCCTTGGTCTTAGAGTGTCCATCGCATCCATGGTTGGAACCACGCACTTACATCTAGCAGACATGCTACGATCACCTCCAAGGGGTAAGCGGACCTTTTGTCTTGGGCGATCAGACTACTAACCATGTATGTATAGATTCTCCTCAAAGAAAGCTGATTCTTGAACGCATTGTACCCACCATCGCACGCATGCGACTCTCCCATCCCTTCAGTATGACCTCAATGTTCTCTCGCGCTTTGATCGAGAGATTCTCCATCTCAAAGGATATCGACTGCACGGACTTCTCAGCATCTGATCGGTTTTTTGATGCCATTATCCAAAAGTGCGTATGGCATATTCATATGCGATCTATTGACTAACACAGTCAAATTTTAGCGCATTCACACCACTCCGTAGAAGTGGACATGTTTGGCGCGCTTGCATTGCGCCTGTGCCAACTGATCTTCAAAGGCTGCCTTTACACACTGTCAATCACAGTGAGCTCTATGGTGTAGGTCGTCCTTATAGTCCACCATTATCCGACATCGAGGAGGACGAGATCGCGCATGTTGTCATTGACACAGCGTTTGATCCATCATCAGCTAAGAACAAGTGCTTCAAGCCTCCTCGCGACAAGGTCCTGAACACTAGCTGGAGTGCGGCGGAGAGGTTACGAGCAGAGGCGGGTGAAAGGGTGAAAAGCCTGGAAGACTTACGCAACAAGGTGGGTGTGCAAGTTCCGATGCCAATCGTACTTATCTTGTCAACAGCTCAAAACTTTCTATCGCAATGGCGTCAAGAAATTACCTGGTGCATACTTACTAATCTCAATGCAGATCATGCCAAAGTACGTATCTGGCTCTCCCACACTGCTCTTGCACACTGAACTCTGGTCAGTCACCACCTAGATCTTCGAAACAAGGATGGGTCGTTGATGGCGTTTGTATCTACTGCACTTCCCACCCACATACGCGCTTCTCTGGAAGTCAATTTACTGGCTGCACTCGGAAATGCAGACTTGCTTGGAGATATGGATACGCGCTTGCCTGGAGGTAGACCTTTCCAGGCTATGCACCTCTCTTGGTACAATCGCCATTGTACATCGGTAAGCTAGCGCACATGGACTATCAGTATTTTGTTGTTAATATAATACTAGGGCCTTAACGCTCCAACAGACGTTCAACCTTGGCTGCTAGAGAAGGAAGGAATGCGCACAAACCATGGTCAAGTTATTCCCTACATATCCCAGGACTTACAACAGCACAGACTCGTATACGGAACAATCTCAAAGGTGTACGGGGAGTTATTTGAGTGGGTAAGACAGTTGGTAAGTTCGGTGAAATCTGCGTAGCATCCAAGCGCTAAATTGTTTCAATGGTAGATGGAGAATTACCTACAAGAAGAGTTCGAAATGCTGATGGAGGTCGCCTCAGTTTTGCCTGGCAACGCTCTTCCCCCCGTTGTTCCTTTCATTTCTCTAGTGATCAACATCAATGTTCGCACCAAAGCTCATAGAGACAGCGGTGATCGTCATCTATGTTTGGTGATACCTATTGGACACTTTGAGGGGGGGGCCTTGTGCTTGTTGGAGAATGGGCTAGTTCTGGAGTTGCGCAATGGTGACATAGCTATCTTCAGATCTAGTGAGGTAACCCATTTCAACCTAGACTACAGGGGGGGAGGGCGTCCTTGGTTTTCCAGACTGACAAGGAGTTTGCATCATGGATTAGGAATCAAAATGGATGGGTAGACAACAATACTATGCATTCTTTTGTATAACTTACACTAGAATTGCAATGCACCAGATTCTGTAGACCTTTTGTTACGTTACATGCATGGTCTCATATAAGCAGGTTACATTTTTACACGAACCACTTTTCTCACTACTACCCTATCATCACTATGCGAGTGAAAGGCAAAGGCAAAAGACCGCCTTCCCCTACTTCCTCAGCTCCTCCTGCTAGTAATAAAGGCAAGACAAAAGCAAGCAAAGTTATAACTGATGACCAGTATGACGAATTCCTGAAGTTTCAAGCTCAAAAAAGAAGGAAGCTGAACTCAATCATCGCAAAGGTTAGTGATGCTTTTCACTAATGTAATGATATTCAAATGCTAACTAATAGAGCATTGAATTAGGTTTGAGGAAGAATGTTGACGCCATGCTAGATGAGAGAGAGAGAGTAATACTGAGCATGAGATTACGGAGCATAACAAGAGGAAAAAAGGTGCGTAATCAACAAGATTTTGTGTGTATGATAACATCACCCATGATATAGTGAGCAAGAAGGCAAAACCTATGGACACAGATGAAGAAGTAGAAGACGATGCCAATCCTGATGATATTTTGCCTCACTTGGACCCTAAGAAAAAGAATACGCCCATAGCCAGTGAAGGTAAGTTATCATTGACATATCAGCTAGTATATTTGAACAATCATGTGTTTTAGATTCAGATCATTCGCGTCACCCAGAGGCAGATTCAGCAATAGAGACAGACGTAGCTGGAGAGCAGTCTGTGGTTAAGAAGAGGCAATGGTGTACGTCTGCTATACTTAATTGACTTCATAGCTAACTAATATTACATCTAGCTAATAGAAGTCAAGGATGAGTCGCAAGATGAAATGGCTGTCAGGCGTCGCAGAAGGGGGGCCAATAAAGGTGAAGTCAGACCACCTACTACCCTTGCATCTTTAAAAAAAGATGGATGCGGACCTTTGGTGGATCTTGCTCATCAACTGCTGAGAGTAAAAATTGCCCTGGAGAACGCCTTTCCTGGTCCTTCTGTAGATGTCCAGGACGCCTTTGCCTGGAACTGTATCAAGGAGGCTGGTAAAGAATCAGGCTCCCCAATGAAGGTTATGTTTGATCGCATTAGTGAAGATGATACACTCAAAGGCAGGGCATTGGCATATGTAAGTTCACTAATTTTTTATGAATACTTACTGACGCTGTTCTTAGGTATGGTCAGGTGCATCTCAGTTAAGGGGGGAGTTGGCTAGGAAGGCTAGAGAGAATGTGATTTTCATGTTGCAGCATTTACGTCCCAAGGAAATAGGTGATGTCTTTTCAGGTTATATATTTTTAAATCTAATCTCAACATTGTCTTCCTTCCTCAGCCGACATAGCTAATTGGGTTATATCTACAAGAAAGGAGCCGTTCCTTAGTGGTGAGATGGACATTAAAGTACGCCATCTACTTCTTACCTTTGTATATGTATACTGACTAGAAGTGTATTCAGGCCAAGACCTTCAACAAGAACCTTCCTTTCCGCACACACCTCATCAAGCAACTTCTCATGGGCCAATTTTTTCAGGGCGCTGGTGCTGAAGGATTGCTTTACAAGGAAGAATTTCAAAGCTTCCTGATAATCTTATTGCGCTTTTGGCAGCTTCAGTAAGTTTTATTATTCAATAATATTTCATACTAACCTTAACGCATTTCAGATAGAGTGTGCATACAAAGGCATGCTCACAGGTACACAGGTTGTAGTAGAGTTCAAGGAACCAGTGTTTCAACCAAGGTGCATATATATTTTACTTTTTTGGATATTTTTTGGTTATATTACTGAACGTCATACATAGACATCAGTACTACTTGTCTAAACTCACTGAGTATAGCCTTAAGACTCCAGGCTATATGAAGAAATTGAGAGATGATCTGTGGACTGATATTGGGTACGTGTTTTGCGGTTTTAAAATCATATGATCTTGTTACTAACACTATGATAGAGAGGCTTGTCGTTTCCAGCTTAGAGAAGAGGGAGGCGACAGTGATGAATCTGATGTTGATTTTGATGCAATGGAGGAGTATGCTAGGCCAATGTCTGGTGTAGCAAATGTTGATGATGCTGTCGTCAACTGATATACTAGATTTTGTAAAATAAATATTTGACAAATGTATCATCTGGATGACGCAATGAATTGATTGAGATATGGAGCTATATAGAAATGTCATAGGTCTGTATAACATCATATATCAAGAGGATACAGAAGATATAAGGGTCAATGTAGCCTGGTATAGATGGTTATAGTCATACAAATGATCCTATTATGATGAATATAATTTTTTAGACAGACTATATGGTGCTATACCCCACTATAACGTGCTCTACAGGCCTATATAATTGGGGACTTAGCTATGGGGCTATAGGTCCCATATGGTCTATGGGGGGCTATAGGGCACTATACTGGGCTATATAGAGTTAGCATATTTTCCTGATGCGGAGAACCAGAATATGAGATATCCGAAATCCTAGACTTGAAGCTAGACCATTGTAGACGTCAATGCCAACTCTTATACCTCATCCCATGGTCCGGATATGAAGGAACGGACGAAGAGACTTCATGGTTACTAGCCACGGAACTCGGAAACGCGTCCAATCTAGTCTCGGCTTTCCACACCGCATATCCAGACAAACCCGGTCCTATTGCTATACAATGAATATACAAAACGGAATATACAAGTACATTAGTAGCAGAGAAAGCGGATCCAGAAATCCTTAGCCATCCATCTCCATGTCCCCAGCGGATCCGGATTCATCAGCGTCCTTCTCAGTGACCTTGGATTGGGCTGCCTCGGTGATCCGAATTCCATTCCGGATCCCCTCAAGAAGGATGTTCTGGAACTCCCTCTGCTGCTCCAAAAATGCCTCCAAGTTAGTATTCATCCTCTCCATAGCAGCCCTACTCCCTTCCGCCGCTCCGATGCTCTGCTGGAGTAATCCGTTGGTCTGGACCAGCTCCGCTACAATGTTGTTAGCAGCAGCAACCCAGGCCTGATCATCATACTCCACTTCCACCTCATCCGCTACTGCCATCTTCATATCCGGATCCGGAGTCGGACTCTGCTGGCGCTTCTTACCCTTGCCTCTCGGAGATGGGTTCTCAGCAGCGCGTTGCCTCTTCTTAGACTTGGAATCCTTGACAAGTCCAGGCCTTCCAGGGCAGGTAACCTTATCCTTCTGGCACAGATTGCAAGCCTTGATCTATCCGAATGTTAAGAGTCACGGATCCGAAAAATCAAGGACGACTCACCAAGGAATTGCTATCGGCATCGGACCATAGACAGATCCGATTCTTCTTAGCGCAACGAGTACAAGACCCATCCTTATCCACTGAAATAGCGCGAGTCTACGAATCCGATAAGGAATGGATCCGATAAGCCACGGATCCGATGGTACAAATCATAACTCACCATTTCCGCTACAATAGCCCTGCGCCTAGTCTCCTCCACTTCCCTTCGGATCTCGGCCTGTTCAATCTTCCTAATCCCATCCAAGTGTTTCCGTTCTGCCTCCTCCTCTTGTTGCTTCTGCTTTTCAGCCTCTTCCTCCTTCCGAACCTCATCCTCAGCAGCAGCCAGCGCGGCCTGTACATCCGCCAGAGTCTGCCTAGCGGTCTTCTTAGAGCCGGATCCGTTATCAGCCATGTTTGAGTTAAGCTAGTGGTAGGGAAAAAGTGGGGAAAGGAAGGAACACCTGCAATGCTTTGGCATCCATATATCTGTCGAAAATCTGAACTCAGCAACTTCTCCCATCAACTTCTCTTTTGTCTCGCACTCATACCATCCGTTCCAGATCGCTGATTCTCATGCCTCTAGGGATCGGCCCTAAGGGGGGGGATACTGTCATATACCATATTCCCGGGTACAGATCCGAAGATCCGGATCTCAGATCCGATCCAGATCCGATGGACATATCCGTCGTCTGGTCCACAGATCCAATCTAATCCTTGTTTCATGTCCTGTTCATATAACTCTAACTATCGTTCATCTCCTTTCGGCATTCCTGTACACCGGTATACCGGTTATCCTTTACTTCCGTTATGCTTACTGATCCGCTACACTTACTGATCCGCTTTAGCTTAGACTTCATTCCCGGTTATGATACGTTATCCGTCCGACTTACCAATATGCTGTACACATACTTTGCTTATACTTCGTACATAGCCTCGCATCCTTGCTTATTGATCATTCCGTTAGTTATCCGTAGTATATAAACCCTTGTACATGCGCTGTAGCAGATCAGTTCGAATATCATCTTAGATTGCACTCATTCTGTCTGGACTCCAAGTCCCTCCGTTATCCATCCGGACTTGAGTACAATACTCTTGTCTACTCCGAGACTTAGGATTGATTCCTATAGTCTATATATCCGTCTCTGTCTTCGGACAGTCCTCGCCTGCTAGTTTCTAGTTCGGATCCGATCCGGATTAGCCGTTACTATATACGTTCAATATCCGGAAGCCATAACGGATCCGTTACGAGACTTATCTGTCTCAATATACGCGATACTCTAGTACTCTGAAATAAGGGGCAAGACTCGGGAAAGGGGCACAGTGCACGAGCTGAGGCCGAAGCCCTTCGGATCCGATACTACTTGAGTTCGGTCTTAACATTATGCCACCATGAATATTCTGGAATGTTCTTTTGCACCTGCTAGAACATTCTGCTCCAGTTTTTGGAATATTCTTCTCACATTCTGAAGTCATTACATCACCTTTTTACTTACATAATATTCCCACACAAAATGTATATAAGGAGAGCCCATTCTCCCCCCAAAAAAATAGATCTCCCACTTGTTGCATTCAAGAACCTCCCACTTGAGCAAATTGAACTCTCACCTAAGAAGCTTCAGTCTGAACAAATTGCTGCTTACAAAGCCCATTTCCTTTGTAAGAACTGTCCAGACAAGTGCAGGGAAAGTGTTTCCCTTGAGATTACGTAAGTTTCTCGCGATAGAAACCCAGTTTTGTGAGACCAGTGTTCTCACCACGTAGTGTTTACTGACCAACACGAGCTTTGGTCACCATTGTTATTTGTGAGACCAGCGTTCTCACCAGGTATTTGTATACTGACCAACACGAGCTTTGGTCATTGTTGTTATTTGTCATTGTTTTCTATTTGTCATTTGTTGTTATTTGTGAGACCAGCGTTCTCACCAGGTATTTGTATATTGACCAACACGAGCTTTGGTCCACGTAGTCACATTTGAGACCAGCTTCTCAACAGTTAACCGTATATTCAGGAAACCAGTTCAAGTGTCTAGATGGTATATCCTAGACAATCCCATAGTTTCAATCAGAGATAATAAAGCTCTGGCTAAGTTAATCTAACTGATTGGTTTAGCAAGCCTCCCAAGAACTCACACGTTATCTACCACGAAAGAAGAAAAGTCGTAGACCATGTTAATTGAGGAATGGCAAGAAGTCTTATCCAGTGTAATTGTGGTGTCATTACATTCTTACACGTATTTATATAAGACCCTCGGTTATTAAGACACCAGCACGTGCGATGATATTGTTATCCGACGTGATTCTTTTAAACTCCCCACCGTGCAGCTGTGCTAGAAAAAGAGTGCCGAATGGCTGTCCAAGGTGAGCAGGCAATCTCAACGCTCGCGCCACAGCCATCAGCCAGCTCCGTGTCTACAGGAGGCAATGTATTATCCAATGTCGGAGACCCAGGCTTAGACCAATCTTCCATGGTCTGTGTATCGTTTGCAAAGTCAGGCAGTTTGAGATTATAACGATTCCATGGATGGATGTCTGCCAAGTAGGCCTTGCTGGCCAGAATTGAGTCAGCTTGCTTTGGTTTGTTGTGCACAGTCTCCATCTCAGTTGCCACCAAAATGGCTGACAGAATCTTAGTGTAACTTGTATTGCATTATCATGTATGCCTCCAAGTGTTTGATTGTTTAAAATAAAAAGGAGGTTGAGAAAACTACTACCTGCATCTTCCCAGCTGAAATTTGTCATTGTTTCTGCAGGACAGAGCAAGGTGAAAGTTGGCAACACCAAACCCTAGTGCGGAATCACAAATCAAAACTTGTGTGTCGGAAATGCCCGGACAAGGACCCCGTAAGAACATAATTGAGAGATTTGCAGCGCTTGATTATAACATTGAGTCTGCGTTGTCACTGGTCAGGTGTTGTCCAATGCTGCTGCACACTGTTTCAGATGATTTAAAAGCTCAAATACCTGTTCTATGTCGACGTGGGCACTCTGTCAAGCATATCTGCCATCTACTTGGAGTAAAAAAGACTATTGTATACAAAGTTGTACAGCTCTTTCCTGCAACTTGGAGTATCCACAAGCCAGCAAGAATACGGGCCGACGTCGCACCCTCACCATCAATGATCTCGCTTTCATCACTGCCATCCTTTGTCACTGTCCTACTATCTATCTTGACAAGCTACAGCATGAATTGCCAAAGAGGTACTTGAAACTATATTTCTTCCTCTCAGTAATAACCCCGATAGTAGTGCGATTTGTCATACTTCGCAAGGATTGTAGTTGGGCTCAGAGATTTGAAAGATGAGTTCCTTGATTTCGTAGATTTCACTTCCTTGGTTTTGGCTTTGCCATTGCTTTCAGTAGTAAGTATATTTCACTTCGTCATTAATTAGTTGTCTTTTTTTCAGTTGTCACAAATCTGTAACGCTAATCATGTGACATTCGTTATTTTTGCAAGTCGTCTACCTAGTGTGGGGGGCAAAACTACTTGGCTTTAGTTTTGCCGGTTATAACTGGCAAAACTGGTTGTTTTGCCAGGGTGGCAGAACTTGGCAAAACTCTAGGTGCTTAGCTAGGTTATGTAGACTATATGTATGAGATGACATCAATATTAATGTTGCCTCGTCCCAGCCGTCACCCTCGCCATTGTAATTAACCACCTCAATCTCATCTAGAACAGTTTGTGGAATTATTCCTTGTTCGACCCGATCCTACTCATCAAAATCGAAAGCATTTCCCACGAGCACTTCAACTTCTGAACTTCTTCAGTCCTTTTCAACTCTTTGAGAGCTGCAAATTCAGCGGCAATGTCGTCAGGCGAGATACTCTCCGGATCAGCGAGAAGGTCACATCTACATCGCGAGGCTCAATCGAGAGCGGAGGCGCCCATGATGGCGGGTGGACTTCCAGCCTCCGTAGGTCTTATGGTGTTGTAGTATCGAAGATTTGCACGAATTTTGCTGAGTGTTTCAAATGTGTCAACTGAGAGATTACACCGCCATGCAGATTGTGTTGTGCCGAGATCAGAGAATGTGCGCTCTTGATGAGTTATCAGTGTCACTGCAATGTTTGCATTTACAGTAGTAACGATGCGAGCTGTTGTTAACTCGTTCCAGGCGCTCGAAATTGTTGATCAGTGATGCGAGGGGGGCGCCCTCCAGCGTGCACCACATCTTACTTTAGGGACGTCGTTTTGCATGTTCTCTTGAATTCAAACTATGTTATCAGAAAGCTAAAATACATCTCGGCGAGTCTTGGAGTTCTACCAAGTTTTGCCACCCCCCTTTTGCATGAGTTCTGCCGAGGACCGGGCACAACCAGTTTTGCCGAACCGGTTGGCAAAACTCGGTAGTTTTGCCAACAACACTACGTCTACCTTAGATGGAGGATGTTCACAAAACCACGTGATACACCTCAACTTCGTGAAAGCTCATATGACTGGCTCTGGTATGGTGCTTGCGTCTGAAGTATTAGGGAAGAGGATTGTGCAGAATCCTGAGAAAGGCTCGAATTAGAAGTCGTCTGAGAGTCTTGCGACGATTGGGAAGGCCCAGATGCTGTCTTTAATGCGGTGCCTTTGGGCAATGGCGAAATATGGAGCGTGCCAGAACGGATGTGTCTTCCTCTGTCATTTTGGGTCACAACGGGAGGGCTGCGATGTTCTATGCGCTCAACGTCCTCACTCTTGGCCGGCGGAGAGAGCGGCCGAGGCCGGCTAGCGGGAGTGTGTTCAGGTTCAGATTCAGGCCACTGGAGATCAGCATCAGCTATGTCCACAACCGTGCCCGCAACGATGGATGCTGGATCCTTGGAGGTAGACAATGCTGCACCTTCTGCTGCATCGTTGTGAACCGTCTCCGGTGCTTGCATCTGGATGCTCTGGGTACTGACGTCCGCTGCATCCTCCCGTATGAGCTGTCGCTCTACTGCATCTTGCGATGAGCTTGATGAGTCAGTGCGAGAATGTTGCAGAGACATATTAGCGTGTGTCTGAGCAATCTCGCTAAGTCTACTGCGTCGCCGATCAAAAGAATCAATTTGAGCTGCAAGATTGGGGTGGAATAAGAGCGTGCTGAGGTCTGGTGATCGCGGAAGAAACGCAATAGATGAGGTGTCAGCCGGTGATGACAGTTGAGCAAAAGATGGGAGATCGGGTGCTCTCGCAGGAGCAGGCAGTGGCGGTGTTTTCTTCTGCGGGGGAAACGAAGTTGATTGACGGGAGGTAGGATGTATTAAAGAGGTTGGACTCAGTATTCCCGATGGAGGTGCTGGCGATGAGGTGAATGGCTGAGAGCCCGACGAGCCTTGATCCGTAGGATATAAATGTAATCCACCTATGTACAGACAAGCAAAATTTGTAAGTTGTTGAAAAAACACGCGAAATACGCGTATCTCAGAGCGGGGCGAATGACATCAGGGAGACGCACCGTTGGGAAGGTGCACTGGCACCGAGCTGCCCGACTCAGTCATGCTTTGAGCTTCCACTGCCTCTTGCTTTCTCATGCGCATAATTTCCTTTTTGCTCATTGGCTGAAGTTCCCAGATATGATCATGTCTGACATGAGAAGCAAGCTCGTCAACGGTTGAGAAGGTGAGTCTACACCAGTCCCAACAACAGAAGAACGTTCGTGGTGGAGAAGGTTGTAGATGAGATGAATCTGATTGAATCATAGTGATTCTAAGTCATGTGAATAGACCGTGCAATGGCTGCAATATGTGCGCACGAGTCCCACACAAACTTGCAGCAAAACGGATTAAGACGTGGAGTTGTTTATCTTTGTTTAATTCAGAAGCTTCCACCTGCCATATTGGTACTACGGACGTAAACGTCTCAAGCAGTGACCTCAAGCTACTCCTGACGTCAACATGCAATCCCATTTTCAAGGTTCTGACATTTTATCTTATCTTGTCCTTCCTCAGGACTATGATCCTCTTCCAAGCGTCGATCCTATCGAGTTTTTGAAAAGACATCTACACGAGCTACCTCCCAACATCATACAGCGGTTCTCACTCGTCACAACGCCCAAACAGCGAACAGCGATTACTGAGATACGTAATCGAAGATTAAAATTTACTGAATCAAGGCCGCGGTCTCTGAGCTTCGCGGTTGCCCGAAATACCTGGCCAACACTGTGGCAGGGCAGAGAGCGAAGGGGACAAGAAGAGGGGAAGGAAGAGCAGGAATGGGCAAAAATGAGTTTCCTAGGTGGTGCAGAACAACAGGTGGGCAACCTGGCCAAGCTACTCGGCGACATGGAGGAGGAACGGGCAGCGGAGAGAATACGAATTATCCGGAGAACGCAGGCGAACGATGATTTTGTCCCGGAAGAGGAAAGTGACAGTGAAGAAGAGGACGAATACGAAGTTCCTGAAATTCAAGAGTTTGAATCGCCAGAAGAGGCTCAGGCTTTGTTTGAAAGACGCATAAGGGAACGGTTCATATATGGTTTGCTTGAAGTGAGTCCTGTCGCTCCGCATGAAAAGCCAACTCGAACAAATTCCTTGTCAGGGAGCAGATTATGATTCAGTTGACTGGGATGAGTGGCTCGATGTAGAGGATGATAGAGATGCAGAAGAGCGGTGGTTTGACGATGATTAACGGACATCAGATATCTTTAGTAGATTCTCGGTATCTTTCCACCGGGATGCTGCTCCAGTAGGACGTAAACTCCGGCAGAGCTCCGGATGCTGCTTGCCCTCATCCATCTCGTCGGCCCACCCTAAAGCACCTAAAGCATGGCTGCCCAGGTTCATCAAACCCCAAGCCTTTCATCCGATATACAGCGAGCACTACAACAGGCCGTCGGCGAAGTCAATAATGCATTCACGCAATCCCAGGACAATCAGTCGAAAAAGAAACGCGCCCGTAACGATTCGACCGGTGAAGTCTCAGTAGACGAGTCTCAAAAGAGGCAGAAGCGAAAGAAAAATACTGACGATGTTAATGCGTTAACTGTGCAAGTCAGTGAGCAAAGTGTCGAGGTGGAGAAGGATAAAAAGAAGAAAACGAAAAAGACCGACAAAGGGAAGGCAAAGGAGGTCGTACAGAACACTGTTGACACTCTCAGTCCTCAGTTGGTGGAAGAAGCACCAGAAACTCATCCAACTAGCTCAGTCGATTTTCTGAATGCTGTTGTTGCTGCTGCATCCGCTACAGCAGACGCGCAGCACCTGGATGTTTCACCGTACCAAGCACATTCCTCTTACCAGGATCATCATATCATGCCAAATCTACAGCATGATCACCCATCACCTCCTTACATGACGTATCCTCCCATGAATTTCCCCTTTCCCTCTCCAGCACATCTGTACGGTCAGTCTTCATCGCATCCTGCAAATATTCTTCCGAACTTGGGGTTCCCCCTCCCCGACGTCCAATTCGCGTCAAATGACGAGATTCTCCGTGCATTGCAAGAGCTTGACATGTCCAAACTTGCCGGGGTATTGAAGACATTGGGTGATGCCGCTGCTGCAGCCAATGTACCTCTCGGTGTTCCCCCAGGGTTTATCCCACCTCTACCTGGTCATTCTAATATACACCCACAACTCTCGCCTCAACCGATGGGACAACCACCTTCTACATCGGGAGCAATCTTGAATACTGCTCCCAAGTCGACGAAGACGACCCACAAACGTGTTTTAGACATGAGCCTTCCAGGGCCCGATCATGGCAATCCAGATCATGCTCACATGTTGGCTAACAAGTGGATGAACGCAACAAAACTGGCCGAGATGGTTAAAACACAAGGCAAGTGACTTCCAGAGGTGATGGATCATCGCTAATTCTATACAATAGGTCTCGTTTACAAGAAGGGAAAATTTTCTGCAATCGAAGAGGAACAACTTCGGGCCGCTATCGAAGCTTTCAAAGTGGTGCGCTATTTATGACGCTTGTCGACGCGAATACTCAACATTGTGGATGACAGGGCCGAGGTCTTACAAATGATCAACTCCAGGACATCATTTTCCAAAAGAACGAGAAAGGCAAAGACAATGCATTCTGGTCGGAAATTAGTGGGTTTCCTTGTGCCGTATGAAGTGTCGGTCTAGTGTTAATATCTCGATTAGCTTCCGCTCTCGCTCTGCGCCCTATCATCGCTGTTTATCACCACGTTCGTAGGGCGTTCCATCCCAAGAAACAGCAAGGCAAATGGATGCCCGAAGAAGATGCAGTGCTTAAACAGTATGTTATTTCCGCCCTCATTCATTAATGTTTCATATACTTGTTGACATTAGAGCCGTTGCGGACCTCGGTCAACAATGGGAAAAAGTCAGTGAGATTGTTGGTCGAATGTCCTCCGATTGCCGTGACCGTTATCGCAATCACATTGCCAATCGCGAAGTCCGGGTGACGGGCGTGTGGACAAAGGAAGAAGAGGAAGAGCTGACGGCAATTGTCACGGAGATGACAATCCAACAGGGGAAGGATTTTGATAACGATGTCTTCTGGGGCAAAGTGAGCGACAGGATGGGGAATAGGCGCGGCAGACAACAGTGTCGAATTAAATGGTCAGCGCTTTTGATATACGACATGTGTAATCTTGACTCTTCTTGCAGGACCGATTCACTAAGCAAAACCGTCAAAAATGAAGGGCAAAAACCACGTTGGAGCGCTCAAGATGCCTATATCTTGGTCCATAAGTACGGCGGTAGTCTGCTGTCGGTTTCTATATGCTTATTTATGTTAACAGGGTCGACTCCATGAACGTCAGGGACGATACTGAGATTGACTGGAAGACGCTCCCCGATTCAGATTGGAATTTATGGAGTGCTCACTCACTCCAACGACGCTGGTTGACGATGAAGAGAGGAATTAAGGGGTACGAAGACATGACCCACCAAGGTTTGTTCTTCAAGGACCACAAGTGATTGTTGATTATTGCTTATCCTACCTGCAGAAATCATGGATATCCTCCGAGTCAAGAAAGCTCACCTTCCTCCCGCTTCAGCAGCACGTAAACGAAAAGTCACCAGCGCGGCAAACATCGATGAGCCGGCGGACCCAGAGTCTGGAGACGCGGGACCAAGTGGTACACAAGAAGGCGTGTCTGATGGCCAGGATAGAGATGCTGATGGGTCAACCGACGATTCGGATGCTTGATTTTATTGCTATAGTTATGAACACCAACATACACTTATTACTACCATAATGCTCCTCAACAAGTTGACTTTGAGCCCAAGTTTTTGACAGAGTTGAGACTTCGCATTGACATCTGATCGGTCAAACAACTCCTAGAAGACCAGCACTTCCTCTCATCCCCCTTCCTCTTGCAGCAGCGAAGCTGATGCACACGCAACTCAGCAGGAAGCCAGCGAACCTTGGAAGCTCGCTCAATACCCCAGCACGGTAAAAATTGATGAACATCTTTACCTGAAAAATGCGACACGAGATATGGATCTTTCCTCGTGGGGTGTGCGCGAGGATGTGAATATGGAGCGCAATACAGCTGGTGTGACTGGGAATCGACTAGATGGATTAGGTGGCGGCGGCTGTAGTGGTGGCTGATTTGACAGTCTCGTCGCCGTAATAGTCGACGAGCTCCGCGAGCTGGTGGAGGTCATTGCACAATCCTGTGGTTATGTCCAAGTCGGGAGACGCCGAAATGTTTCAACTTGATGTGGATTTGTTTACGGAAAGATTGTGGGTTGACCGGGTATGGACAAGTAGACGCCCTGGTGGCCCAAACAATCATCGCACGGCGCGCGATAAAATACTGGAATAGAGGTTTTCATGGCTATGCTAGTGCTCCACTAGCATCCTACTTGTTAGAATCTTCCTTCCGCGTGCACACTTCAAGCTCTTCTATCACCGTCTCACACCCATCATGAACCGCCCACTGGCAGATGTAGAGGATATGAAAAGAATTGTCGATCGACTCCCCAAAACAAAATCAGAACGCCGAATTGTTCGCCACTTGGTTATTCGGGACCCCAATTGCGGGGTAACTGACGAATGGGTTGCCCCAGAGATGAAATCTTGTCGTCAATTGGAGTCGGTAGTGCTCTCTGGGGTGACAGACACGTCTGACAAGACTGTCGTCGATCTCGCACGTGAAAATTCCAATTTACAAGGTCTTGACCTTACTGGGTGCAAGTACGTCACTGACGTGAGCATCATGGAACTGGTCGCGAAAACACCTCCTTTGCAGTGGCTGCAGCTCAGCGGGGTAGTACTCACTGACGCTTCAGTCTCCGCAATCGCCAAGACCTTCCCGAGGCTCGTGGAATTAGAGCTGAATGACCAGCCGCTCATGACGGCTGTGTCTGTTCGCGATATTTGGTCATACTCTAGGAAACTTCGCACTTTGACGTTGGCGCGCTCTCCTCAGTTAACGGACAGTGCGTTGCCTTCGCCGATCAAAACCCTCACTCCTCAGCCATCTGGGGAGAAACCGTTACCCGCTCGTCCTCATACCTGGCTTGATCAGCTTCCACCTCTCATCCTACGTCATACCGCAATCGATCTTCGTGTGCTGGATCTCAGTCACTGCCCGAAGCTGACCGATACGGGAATTGAAGGCATCGTGACACATGCTCCACTGCTCCGGTCACTTGCATTGGCCGGGTGTCCCAACCTTACCGACAAGGCCGTGGAAAGCATATCCAAACTCGGTCTTCACCTTGGCAACCTTACCCTTGCGCATTGCCCACGAATCACTGACAATGGCATCGTGTTCTTGGCACGATCATGTACCGAACTTCGATCTGTTGACTTGGCGTGGTAAGCATTATCGAGCGTCCAATCGTACTGCACTAACGGGGCTATAGTCTGCCGACAGTTAACTGATATGGCTGTATTTGAATTAGCTAGCCTAGAACACATTCACCGCCTTGTTCTTGTTCGCGTGCCAAAGCTGACCGACAATGCTATCTATTTCCTCGCGGACCATACACCTTCATTGGAGCGATTGCACCTTTCATACTGCGATCGCGTCACGCTCAAGTCGTTACATCATCTCGTCCGAACTTGTAAGCGCCTCGTGCACCTTACTGCGACTGGTGTGCCTGGTGCAAGGCGGACCGGCGTCGGGCGGTTTTCTGACCCGCCTCCTGCAGTATGTCCCAAATCACTGGCACTGATGACTTAGATTCTCATTCGCGTGTCAACCCCAGGATCTGGACCCCGATCAGAAGTCCGTTTTTCGTGCGTTTAGTGGTCCGAATGTAACGGCGCTGTGCAAATTTCTCGACAAGGAGAAACTAAGACGCGAACAGGCGGAGGCTCAGAACATTCCATTTGTTGCGCGATCGGATGATAGCATGGATCTGTATTAGCAGAGAACGTTGTGAACTAGCAGTCGATCTTCAAGGCTGCATGATTAGTTAGGAAGGCTGGGAATTGGAGCTGGGTGATTGGTCGGTGTGCTATCATACCTTTTATTCATCGTGTCAACAACTTACCCTCGCATATTTTACGTGTTGTGCTTCTACTAGGCCTCTACACTATTTCGATAATGATAACACAAATTGCATCGCAGCCAACGTAATTCTTCTGGTCTTCTGAATCATAGGGGCCGCCGGTATACATGCTTGGCGGAGATAAGTGGTGGTTCACGACCTTATAAGTCGACTTATTACCCCCACTGCACGTTGTATAGGAAGAGAAGGTTGTCACCCGAAACCAACCCGAAACATTGTCGGATTGGCTGGAGGATAATAGCACAGATTTCCTTACAAATGCCCTGCGAATATGATGCCAATATGCCTGGTCAGTTTTCGTGCCTCAGGCGCTGGTTGTTACTCGTCATCTGACTGTAATTTCATAACTGCGGTCGCTAAGCTTCGCTAGCCGGATATTTCTTCCACCCACGTTTTTAACAGCGTCTCCTTCAATGTTCGGCTCCGGGATGATCGATCATCATCCCAAATTCAAGGAATACAGTGGAATACAGCACCGTTCTCCCAACCCAATGAAAACAAACATACCGGCTTCACGTATCCTCTCGTCGTGTGATTCGGTTGCACAACGACTCTCAACGCCGGGGCGCTCATCACAGCCTCATATCGCTTCATCTGATCATGGTTCATTAATCTGAATCAAAGCGGAACCTCCCCCCCTGAGGTCTATGCGCTCTTTGCATGGGAGTATATGATCCAGATATGATATTTAATTTTCTACTCGGTTGAGTGTAGCGCCATTCAACGTCCACTTCTACTAGTACTGTCTGAGCCTCATCAGCCACGATAACATTTAAAGATACGTGGATGAACACGGTTAGTGCCCTATATATACTATCGCATAGCATCACTGTAAAAGACTACTTGCGATCCTATATTGAGAAAAATCAATGCACGTGGGCGTACGCGTCTGTGGCAAGCAGGGATATCGCGGACCGCAGATAAAGTTTAATCTCCGCCAGATCTTGGAGACCAGAGCCCTCTGACGTACCGGTCTTTTTATACATATACACCCATTGGTATTTGACCTATATCACTTCCAACTTGTTTGGACTAATAATTGCATCATCTGGGCCCTACTTTCGTTCACAACGCCATTAATCGTGTTTCCTTGTTAAAATCGAACAGTCACTAACAGGGCGACGACCGCGACCAAATCGTCGTATAAGCTCGTCACGTTAGCCTCTACAATCGTTGCAATTAATTCAACTGGCCAATTCGCTTTCACTGTCACATTAAATTGGCAACTCAGTCGCTCGCTGCAGGTCATCTCGAACGTACTCAGTTGTGTCTGGCGGGCAAGCCAAGAGGCTCCCCAAGGTTTGTCATCGGTGTTCAACACCCTCTACTGCCTGGAACTTTGTCTTTGGCGTATTTTCTCACATGTTCTTCATGTACCGTCACAGACTCTTTTGACGAATGGAGAATGGCTCTCACGTAGCGCATTTAGCTCCCTCATCTCGCACACGCACGACCTCTCGACGCCCGCGACCACGTACCCCTTCATCACCGACTTCCTTGCTGGATCGCCGGACAGCGCATGGGACTGTTTTCACTTCTGAACTAGCCTTGCCGATAGACCATCTAATGTCTTTCTCAGATGAAGTGTCTTCTATCCGTGACATTTCCTCTACAGCCGGGTCTCGTTCTACTCGGCAGTCACCACAGTTTGCCCGGCGGTTTGTTCCTCTCACACCCATCATCGCATCCCCGTTGACCACACCCGTGGCGAGCATGACGACCAACGTTACCTTCAGCCTGAATTCTGACACAGAGGATGAAAGGGACAGAAAATTTGCGCACAGCGAGTCCGCTGCACACGTAGAGATAACTATTCCAACCCCAACTTGGATGGCCACACCTCCCACACCACCTCCAAAATATACCCACAGATCTTCTGCCTCCGTGTCCTTGCGACCGCATTCGTCTTTCGTGACTGCCTCCGCCTCTTTTCCGGATCCTACGTTTGCCAGCGTATCTAAAGTGTCCTCGGAGCTGACTTTGAAGCGTCGAGCGTCACTTCCTTCAATGTCTGTTTCGAAACCCCTTCCTACCATTCCCCCTGCTGCGCCGCCTTTGTCACTGACACCGACACCGCCACGAGACAACCACTCCAAGCGAGGGACGAGATCGTCCGGAAGTCCGCTACGTGTGAGTATCAGCGAACACAGTGAGGAACGATCACATCGAAGCGGCAAACCAGCATCTCAAGCAGCACTTCGGAAGAAACCATTGTTTCACTTGCCGCAGGATGGTTCAGATAAGGAGGATGACACCAAGCTCAAGAAATTGAATAACTATCATAAGAATCTACCCGAAGGGGAGGAGTCAAGCTCGGAAGCTGCCGATCATCCACTTCAGGCGAAGGATGATCTCATAGGAAGCAAAGACGACGTGAGAAAATGTCATGCACTCTTGGAGTTGCTTTCCACGGAAGTCGGATACCTTTTTGACCTTAAGGTTCTTGTTACAGTAAGTCGATCGGATTGGCCAGTTGTTGGGAGATTCATCGTCGAACGTTCCTTCAGGTGTACCTTAGGCTCCTGCCCAGTCTGACGACTCGTCTACCACATCACCCCTCCTCTAGCCTTGGGATGTCCCATTTCTCCCGTTCCTCGTCTCCTGCCTTCAACCCACCCTCGTCGAACCCCGCTGTCCGCGCACAATCTATTTACCGCCTATCGACCCCCGTACCATTCTCTCCCTGCGAAAACATCCCTCATATTGTCAATGGCCCATCAGGCGTAACGAAGGAAAAGTCTCTGATGCGGCACGTATTCTCTCCCGCTGACCTTGATTTGATAACTCGCAATATGGAGGAAATTCTCAAGTTCCATGAACAACTAGTTTGTGAACTAAGGGCACTCGTTTCCCCTCTCGGCTTTCCGATGATTCTCGATGGGGCTAGTGGGGGCGTGACGATAATGCAGAAGGAGTACACACGCAATTTGGAGACGTTACACTTAGCACTTGATGCGGTTGCCACGAAATTCATTGAACGAGTAGGTGTCATGTGATGCTCTATGTCCCACAGTACTGAGTTTCCTTTAGGCACATGAATTTCATTTGTACCAATCGTTCTGCTCCGGACATCCTGAAGCATTTGACCTTGTCCGAAAAGTCCAACAGGAGTTCCCAGCCGAATGGGAGACATTCGAGCAATTATGTGCTACCATAGCTGCTGAAATGCGCATCGATGGCTCGCTTCACTCTACCACAGACAAAGAAGCCGAAGATGACGATGCCGCAGA